TGTGTGTGTGTGTGTGTGTGTGTAGGAGAGCGGCGAGGACAGCATTAAAAGACTGGTAGAGGGAAGGAGAGAAGGAAGGTGGATAGCTTGTGGGCGTTGATACTACCCATGAGGCCATTTAATGGGCAATTTGGAATGCAGGGAATAGACTCAGCTGCCCTCTCAATGGGATTCTGTGTCTTTGAAAAAAGAGAGAGAAAGAGAGCAAGCTTGTGGGAAATCCTTGCCTGACTGCTGCTGTGATGTTGAATGTTGGCCTGTTTTATTTCACAGAATGTGGCAAGCACAGACACAGAGACACTCCATTGCTCTAGTGTGACACTGTGAACCTGCACATTTGCCTGGAAGAGGCCAAGCCCTGGAGGCTTTGCAAACAAAACCCATAAAGAGCTCCCTAAAACACACGTTAGCAGACTTAGCGTGACCAGACTTGTTCGGCATTTATTGCCTCTGTCTGTGGGTCTGTCTACCTATGAGTCTCTGTGTATTTGTGTTTGTCTGTCTGTAGGTTTGTTTGGACCTGTCTTATGAATTGTCCTATTGCAGTACTATCTACAAGGTTAGTTTTTTATATAACAGTGACAGATATTATGGCTAAGGTCTGACAACAAGTTTATATATAGTATATATATAATCACAAATTGCCAAAAAGGTCATGTCCGTTAATTGGTGAAACAGTGTAAACCCTGAAGAACATTCAGTTATTGAAACTGATACATCTTCTTCTGGAAATTTTGAATTTACAGTGCGTGCATAATTATTAGGCACATTGATATTCTGATCATATTTTTTTCCAAGCACATTTTACCAATTCCAAACCACATCAATCTTAATAACTACTATTATTTTTGTATTTAATCATTTAGAAGTGATATATAATTGCCCATGAAGGCTGGAAATAAAAAAACTCTTTATTAAGGTGTGCAGAATTATTAGGCAGGTTTTCTTTTATGGATGAGAGAGAGATTTAACTCAGACTGAGAAGTCAAAAATTATTAAATCCCCATGAGAAATATTAAAAACTAATGCAATACAGAAATTTCAAAGTTAAGGCATGACCATTGCTCAGCAAAATGCTCATTGGGTCAGCGGGGTCAGAAAAAAACAGGTGGAGAAGAAAAGACGCATGTTAACTGCAAAAG